ATACTCCCACCACAGTTTTCTTTGTTCATTGTGGTAAAATATACACAACATAAAAATTTACCTTTTTTACCACTTTTAAGTGTATACTTCAGTAGCATTAAGTACCTTCACATTGTTGTGCAACTAACCCCACCATCCATCTCCAGCCCTTCCAATTTTGACAACCAAAAATATCTCCAGAAATTACTAAATGTCCCCTGGAAGGAAAAATTGCCCTGGTTGTTTATACTGTCACAGAAGTGAATGTGAAACCCAAAATATCAATGTCATTTCAAAAAATGAAAGGCTGAGGATCTATAATAGATTAAAGAAGACTAAAAAGACATTACAACTAAATGAAAGATTTGATCCTGTCTAGAAAACAAAAGTTGCTATAAAGAACATTATTAACACAATTGACAAAGTGGAATGTGTACTACAGATTATTGTGTCAATGATAAATTTCCTGAATTTGATTACTGTGGTTATGTAAAGAATGTCTGGCTTCTTAGTATGAAGTATTAAGGGGTAAAAGGAAATAAATATGTACCTACTCTTAAATTGTGTGTGTATGTCTGTGTGTGTGTGTGTGTGAGAGAGAGAAAGAGAGAGAATGCTTAAATGAAATGTGAGAAAATGTTAAAATTGCTGATTTGGGGTAAAGATTTATGAGTTTTTATTATTACAACTTTTCTATAAACTCGAATTCAAACTAAAAAGTTTTGTTTGTTTTAAGTAAATGGGAATGCTTATAGTTGAGACTATCGTTTGTCTGCTCACACTTTTTCGATTCCTGGTTCCTTGCTAATTTTGTTTATCAATGCTGCAGAAAAGGTAACCATAATTGCAGCTCAGGGTAAAATCCTGATTGGTCTAGGTCAGTGGTTCTCAAACTATAGTGTGCACCAGAATTATATGAAGAATTTTGTAAAACAGATTAATAGGCCTGACCTCCAGAGTTTCCGATTCACTAAGTCTTGAAGAATGTGTATTTCCAACAAGTTTCCACGTATTGCTAATGCTGTAGGTTGGGCATTGGGAGATTTGTAGGCCAGTAGTTCCCAGCTTTGTTTTCAAATTTGAATCACTGAGGGAACTTTGAAAAATTATGATGTCTGGGTCTTACTCCCAGGGATTCCAATTAAATTGGTATGGGGTACACACAGGAAGTAGTATTTTTAAAAGACTCCCAGGTAGTCCTAATATGCAGCCAAGACTGAGAATCACTGATTTTGGTCAATGTAATCCCATTCTCCTTGTCAATGCCTTGTTCAGAAGTGGGCACGTTATCCAGTTCCGACAAATGTGAAGTCTGATGGGAAAGGTTTTTTAAAGAAAGAGACCACAGAATTGCCTCCTTTCTTTCAGATGTTATTTCTGGATGTGAGGCTTGGATCAGCTGCATCTATCTCTCAATCATAAGCGGGGAACTAGCTCTCCCCTTTCCCATAGCTCCTTCAAAAGTAACTTTTTTCTATAAGATACATGAAAGAACGGTTGGGGTTGGCAGGGCGGCAGTTGTCTCAGAACCCTCCCATTAGCTTTCTAATACTCCCATTGTGAGTTTTCTTCACTTTATGGCTGGCCATCTCTTAG